TTTGTTGAGGACAAATCAGTTAGTTTTTGTTGAGGACAAATCAGTTGGTTTTTGTGTTGAGGACAAATCCGTTGGTTTTTGTGGTGATTGGGGACAAATCAGTTGGTTTTTGTGTTGAGGACAAATTCGTTGGTTTTTGTGTTGATTGAGGACAAATTCGTTGGTTTTTGTGGTGATTGAAGACAAATCAGTTGGTTTTTGTGTTGAGGACAAATCCGTTGGTTTTTGTTGAGGACAAATCCGTTGGTTTTTGTGTTGAGGACAAATCCGTTGGTTTTTGTGGTGATTGAAGACAAATCAATTGGTTTTTGTGTTGAGGACAAATCCGTTGGTTTTTGTTGACGACAAATCAGTTGGGATTTTGTGTTGAGGACAAATTCGTTGGTTTTTGTGGTGATTGAGGACAAATCCGTTGGCTTTTGTGGTGATTGAGTACAAATTCGTTGGTTTTTTATGGTGATTGAGGACAAATCCGTTGGTTTTTGTGGTGATTGAGGACAAATTCGTTGGTTTTTGTGGTGATTGAGGACAAATTCGTTGGTTTTTGTGGTGATTGAGGACAAATCCGTTGGTTTTTGTGGTGACTGGGGACAAATCAGTTGGTTTTTGTGTTGAGGACAAATTCGTTGGTTTTTGTGGTTATTGAGGACAAATTCGTTGGTTTTTGTGGTGATTGAAGACAAATCAGTTGGTTTTTGTGTTGAGGACAAATCCGTTGGTTTTTGTTGACGACAAATCCGTTAGTTTTTGTGTTGAGGACAATCCGTTGGTTTTTGTTGAGGACAAGTCAGTTGGTTTTTGTGTTGAGGACAAATCCGTTGGTTTGTGTTGAGGACAAATCAGTTGGTTTTTGTGGTGATTGAGTACAAATTCGTTGGTTTTTGTGGTGATTGAGGACAAATTCGTTGGTTTTTGTGTTGATTGAGGACAAATCCGTTGGTTTTTGTTGAGGAAAAATCAGTTAGTTTTTGTTGAGGACAAATCAGTTGGTTTTTGTGTTGAGGACAAATCCGTTGGTTTTTGTGGTGATTGGGGACAAATCAGTTGGTTTTTGTGTTGAGGACAAATTCGTTGGTTTTTGTGTTGATTGAGGACAAATTGGTTGGTTTTTGTGGTGATTGAAAACAAATCAGTTGGTTTTTGTGTTGAGGACAAATCCGTTGGTTTTTGTTGAGGACAAATCCGTTGGTTTTTGTGTTGAGGACAAATCCGTTGGTTTTTGTTGAGGACAAATCCGTTGGTTTTTGTGTTGAGGACAAATCCGTTGGTTTTTGTGGTGATTGAAGACAAATCAATTGGTTTTTGTGTTGAGGACAAATCCGTTGGTGTTTGTTGACGACAAATCAGTTGGTTTTTGTGTTGAGGACAAATCCGTTGGTTTTTGTGTTGATTGAGGACAAATCCGTTGGTTTTTGTGTTGATTGAGGACAAATCCGTTGGTTTTTGTTGAGGACAAATCAGTTGGTTTTTGTGTTGATGACAAATCCGTTGGTGTTTGTGTTGAGGACAAATCCGTTGGTTTTTGTTGAGGACAAATCAATTGGTTTTTGTGTTGAGGACATATCCGTTGGTTTTTGTTTAGGACAAATCAGTTGGTTTTTGTGTTGAGGACAAATCAGTTTGTTTTTGTTGAGGACAAATCCGTTGGTTCTTGTGTTGGAGACAAATCCGTTTGGCTTTTGTGTTGAGGACAAATCAGTTGGTTTTTGTTGAGGACAAATCAGTTGGTTTTTGTGTTGAGGACAAATTCGTTGGTTTTTGTGTTGATTGAGGACAAATTCGTTGGTTTTGTGGTGATTGAAGACAAATCAGTTGGTTTTTGTGTTGAGGACAAATCCGTTGGTTTTTGTTGAGGACAAATCCGTTGGTTTTTGTGTTGAGGACAAATCCGTTGGTTTTTGTGTTGATTGAGGACAAATCCGTTGGTTTTTGTGTTGATTGAGGACGAATCCGTTGGTTTTTGTTGAGGACAAATCAGTTAGTTTTTGTTGAGGACAAATCAGTTGGTTTTTGTGTTGAGGACAAATCCGTTGGTTTTTGTGTTGATTGAGGACAAATCCGTTGGTTTTTGTTGAGGACAAATCAGTTAGTTTTTGTTGAGGACAAATCAGTTGGCTTTTGTGTTGAGGACAAATCCGTTGGTTTTTGTGTTGATTGAGGACAAATCCGTTGGTTTTTGTTGAGGACAAATCAGTTGGTTTTTGCTGAGGACAAATCCGTTGGTTTTTGTGTTGAGGACAAATCCGTTGGTTTTTGTTGAGGACAAATCAGTTGGTTTTTGTGTTGAGGACAAATCAGTTGGTTTTTGTTGAGGACAAATCCATTGGTTCTTGTGTTGAAGACAAATCCGTTGGTTTTTGCTGAGGACAAATCCGTTGGCTTTTGTGTTGAGGACAAATCAGTTGGTTTTTGTTGAGGAGAAATCTGTTGGTTTTTGTGTTGAGGAGAAATCAGTTGGTTTTTGTGTTTAGGACAAATCAGTTGGTTTTTGTTGAGGACAAATCCGTTGGTTTTTGTTGAGGACAAATCAGTTGGTTTTTGTGTTGAGAACAAATCAGTTGGTTTTTGTGTTGAGGACAAATTAGTTGGTTTTTGAAGAGGACAAATCCGTTGGTTTTTGTGTTGAGGACAAATCCGTTGGTTTTTGTGTTGAGGACAAATCAGTTGGTTTTTGTTGAGGACAAATCCGTTGGTTTTTGTTGAGGACAAATCAGTTGGTTTTTGTGTTGAGGACAAATCCGTTGGTTTTTGTGTTGAGGACAAATCCGTTGGTTTTTGTGTTGAGGACAAATCAGTTGGTTTTTGTGTTGAGGACAAATCCGTTGGTTTTTGTTGAGGACAAATCAGTTGGTGTTTGTGTTGAGGACAAATCCGTTGGTGTTTGTGTTGAGGACAAATCCGTTGGTTTTTGTGTTGAGGACAAATCAGTTGGTTTTTGTGTTGACAAATCAGTTGGTTTTTGTGTTGAGGACAAATCAGTTGGTTTTTGTTGAGGACAAATCAGTTGGTTTTTGTGGTGATTGAGGACAAATCAGTTGGTTTTTGTGTTGATTGAGGACAAATCAGTTGCTGTTTGTGTTGAAGACAAATCTGTTGGTTTTTGTGTTGATTGAGGACAAATCAGTTGGTTTTTGTGTTGATTGAGGACACATTCGTTGGTGTTTGTTTTGAGGACAAATCCGTTGGTTTTTGTGTTGAGGACAAATCCGTTGGTTTTTGTGTTGAGAACAAATCTGTTGGTTTGTGTTGAGGACAAATCAGTTGGTTTTTGCGTTGAGGACAAATCCGTTGGTTTTTGTGTTGAGGACAAATCAGTTGGTTTTTGTTGAGGACAAATCAGTTGGTTTTTGTGTATATTGAGGACAAATCAGTTGGTGTTTGTGTTGAGGACAAATATGTTGGTTTTTGTTGAGGACAAATCAGTTGGTTTTTGTGTTGAGGACAAATCCTTTGGTTTTTTGTTGAGGACAAATCCGTTGGTTTTTGTGTTGAGGAGAAATCTGTTGGTTTTTTGTGGTGACTGAGGACAAATTAGTTGGCTTTTGTGGTGATTGAGGACTACACATCAACTCAGGTTCTCCATTTTCCTAAGAAATTTTAGTATCAAAGTTTCATACAGATTACTACTGTTAAATTACAGAAAAAACTTAAAAACTTCACCGATTTCTGATTGTTTTATTGTGTAAAGGGAGCATCACCGCTACAGGAATTTAATGAAATTACATATCAATTGGAAGTAGTTTCAAACTTCACTGATTTCTGATTGTTTTATTGTGTAAAGGGAGCATCACTGCAACAGGAATTTAACGAAAGGACATATCTATTGAAAGTAGTTTCATTTCCAATGACTTTTGCAATTTAATAAAACACAGCCTAATTCCCATTGTGATGTCATGCTTAATATAAATATTGGGTAATACTGATTTTCCGTATCATAAAATTAACACAAATAAAAAAGGGAGGTAATCAAAACATGAAAATTTTGTAAAGAATAAGAACAGATAGTTGATTAAATTTAATCTGTTCGTTTGTTTTACTCTTTTAAATCAATAATTTAAGGCACAAAATGGTTGACATTAAAGTCTTGGAAAGTAGATAGAAATATCTGGCCAATAGTACAGGTCATAAGATGGCTTGAGTAAGACTGTATGATGAATATAATCAGAATATTCAGTTGATGCAAAGAAATGAGACTAGTTGAAATACTCGTGCATTTTCAGGAAGAATAAAAAATAAATTCAATCCATCATGAATAAATCAAAACTACATATTATGCCATTTATTCAAATCAATTAACACATTTTGTGTTTTCACTCATACATTTTCCATATAAAAACTCTTGTATAAAAAATATCACTCTCAAATATACATTTACATCAACTAGTCCCTCATATTTTCATGTTATTAGACTGAAGATAAAACAGATAGATGATCTTTCATCACTACGAAAAAAAATAAATCATGAACACAATTGGTTTTTCCTACTAATCCAATATTTTAGAAGAATTGACATGCAGAAAGGTATTGCCTTCTTAGCTGATTATGAGATAATATATCAAAGTCTGTGAAGCTTCAAGTACAATTGGAGTCACATAATAGACGACTGATATCAATTCCTACCTATAAAAACACCGGATACAAATAAATCCTATGAACTTAATGTGAATCATTTAACAGTTAAAATAAAGTTACATATATAAAAAAACCTACATCTTGAAGTAACTGAAAATCTCTAACCTAATAAAAAACAACAATATAAATCAATGACAGTATTGTACACCTTTACAACAAATCTGTACAGGTAATATACATAGTTAATTACTATCAAAAGTAATTGACGTAATCACCAAAACTTTGTGTTACTCTTGAATAACAACTAAAAAAGTTAAGCCAAGTGACCCCTCTAATCTACAGACAATTTTTTTTTATTTACTGGAGACAACTGAAAAACTTATCTAAACTTTATTAAATGAACCATGAAAATTAGGTCAAGGTCAAATGGAGATGTATGCCTTCAAAGATTTCACAGACCCAAGTGTAGATAATAAATTTCTCATCAGGACTCTGAAATTGAGTTCAAGGTCAAGAATCCCTGTTTGAACTTAAATCAGTTGTATAGATCAACTATAGTTTACCTATTAACTAAAACTGATAAACCTTATTCGGAAAACTTAACATTAATCAATAAATCGTAAAATTCAGGCAATGGTAACATAAATTATTGTCAGACAGACAAGAGCATGATTATTTTTAAGACTGCCAATTATTTATTCTACCTGAGAAAATCACCATCCAGAAATACTTCTAGAGGAAAAGAACAGGCACAGAAAATAGAGCTGTTGACAGAGCTGCTGGTTTCCTTTACATAGTCGATGAACCATGAAAATGGTACAGAGGAAAACTGATGTATGCCAATAAGAAGATGTAACTAGAAGAAGCTACATGTATGTATAAAATAAAACATTTTCTAGCTATCTAACAACTGAAACATAAAGCTCTGTACGAGTATTTACCTCCCCTGCATGAATAGCATACCTATGTCTTACTTTTAGCAACTCTTGTCACAGGCAGTACGATAAAATGAATGACAAAACTATATTGAATGTGTCCTCATTTGAGCCTGCCAAATATCTGATAAAACAAGATGCCAACTGTCCTCATATAGCTTTCCGATGATAATCTGGTGGCGCCACAGTGTAATAGTCTATCTGATTGAATAATGTTGACGTATTTCTATGCATATATCTGAAAAATATTAAATTACTTCAAATAAGGCAAATGAAATTGTTACAAGACTGTTTAATTTGATTTATTATTGTATAACTGGTCCATTCAAATGTTTATATAGGAAACATTCAAACATACCTTGAAAAGAAGTACATTGTTGTACTTCAACTTGTAAAACAGGAAGACATGTGGTTTGTTAAATCATATTTAAAAGAATATCCAAAGCCACTGATTTTTGCTCAGATATACAATAGATAAATAACTTATTTTCAAATTAAAAAATTGTTTACCATTGCAGTTTGCTTTTGTTCTCAATAAAAGTAAAGAAACCAGAAATTTGTAGTGAAGCATTTAATTTTGAAATTTAATAATTTATATTTGATATTGAATAAAAATTACATATTAATATGGATTAGGTAAAATTATTAGTTTTGAAAATGATAAGAGTGCCCTCTACAATTTCAAGAACAAACATGGCGGAATGTAAACAAACCTCGCGAAATCAATTTTTTTCTCTTATTTCTTACTTATCGTACTCTATAGTCAGCACCCCTGTCTGGCAGGTTCAATTTTGGAGAATTAATACATGGACTAAACAAGCCTGAATTCGGTAGCCTGGCATTTTGAGAAGGAGAGATCATTTTTTTAATGTAAACAACAAAAGACAAATGAGGAATGCCAAATGACCAAAAATGACCTGAGACCTGAGGTATGTAAACAAATGTATTATCTTACTTGAGGAAGTCCTGTATGTGGGTCAGTAAAAGTTGGATACTTTTTTCATCTAATGCTGTATAGGCTAATGAACCACCAAGATTTACTGAAATGATTACAGAAATATAAAAATATATATCAGGATAGTGACATATAAGTAATGCTAGAAAACAAACATTAAACTGTTTATATTGAAGGTAACATAGTAATAAATATGGAATAATTAATCAAAGAATTCAAATAGGACCAAAAACAAAACCTTAATACCTGAATGCTACTAGCACATGAATTAATTATCATAGATTTATTGAATCAATAACTAGTTGAATATTTTTGATAATTGAATACTTAGATTAGTTATTTTTCCCATTACATTGATTTCTAATGTAAATAAAGTAGAGGGGGCTTCGGTGGCCAAGTGGTCTAAGTAGTCCGACTACTGTATCACTAGCAAGTCAACACTGAAGTTATGAGTTCGAATCCCGCACAGGGCAGGTGCACTGGACTCCAATCTTAATTGACTAGGACTGTCAGTATTCCTACCAAAAGTCGGTGGTTCTCTCTGGGCACTCCAACTTCCTCCACCAATAAAAACTGACCACCACAAAATAGCACAATAGTGCTGAAAGTGGCGTTAAACACCAATCAATCAATCAATCAATAAATAAAGTAGAAAGTTCAAGGGACGACATCTTTTTCTACAGATTGTCACTTCGTTATGATGCAAACTCATTGACAGCATCTTGACAAAGCTTATTGTTGTATGACGTCAGCGCATAATTCATTTTTAAGTTTGAAAATAATAATTTATATACAATTAACATTTGATTGAAAATGCTACTCAGGCAACAAAAATACTGATAACAGATTACTCACTGACTAAAAAGTAAAAAGATATATAACCATAATACTTTGTATCTTGTATGCTGTTATATTATAACCTAAGCAAAGTGGGCAATATTTCTGTGTCAGAAAATCAAAAAAGATATTTGAACAAGCTGATTCTTATAGCTTTCTATACAATTATTTTTGTAACAGTACAATCTGAATCAACAATAGGAATAAGGAAGAAAGCTTCTTTGTTATTTTATTGTAGTAACTCAGTAGTCAGTGCTTAGGTACTGACATGATTTTAAACAACTTTTCTTAAATTTTCCATTGATAAAATAAAGTTCCAACTCCCTGAGGAAAAGTTAACCCTAGATGCATTTGGTCATTTTTTTAAGGTCCCTTTTGGTTAAATAGCTCTTCAGATGTTTACTTTTTAGGTTCCGTTTGGTTATATAGCTCTTCAGATGTTTAGGTTTTATGTCCCGTTTAGTTATATAGCTCTTCAGATGTTTAGGTTTTAGGTCCCGTTTGGTTATATAGCTCTTCAGATGTTTAGGTTTTAGGTCCCGTTTGGTTATATAGCTCTTCAGATGTTTAGGTTTTAGGTCCTGTTTGGTTATATAGCTCTTCAGATGTTTAGGTTTTAGGTCCCGTTTGGTTATATAGCTCTTCAGATGTTTAGGTTTTAGGTCCCGTTTTGTTATAAAGCTCTTCAGATGTTTAGGTTTTAGGTCCTGTTTGGTTATATAGCTCTTCAGATGTTTAGGTTTTAGGTCCCGTTTGGTTATATAGCTCTTCAGATGTTTAGGTTTTAGGTCCTGTTTGGTTATATAGCTCTTCAGATGTTTAGGTTTTAGGTCCCGTTTGGTTATATAGCTCTTCAGATGTTTTGGTTTTAGGTACCGTTTTGTTATATAGCTCTTCAGATGTTTAGGTTTTAGGTCCCGTTTGGTTATATAGCTCTTCAGATGATTAGGTTTAAGGTCCGTTTGGTTATATAGCTCTTCAGATGTTTAGGTTGTAGGTCCCATTTGGCTATATAGCTCTTCAGAAGGTTAGGTTTTAGGTCCCGTTTGGTTATATAGCTCTTCAGATGTTTAGGTTTTAGGTCCCATTTGGTTATATAGCTCTTCAGATGTTTAGGTTTTAGGTCCTGTTTGGTTATATAGCTCTTCAGATGTTTAGGTTTTAGGTCCTGTTTTGTTATTTAGCTCTTCAGATGTTTAGGTTTTATACATCCTTGGCTTTCAAATGTTTGGGTTGGAGCGTTCCTGATGAAGATCAATAAAGAGAAGCACTTTGGACGCACAAAATTAAAAAGTGTTCTTTTCAATCAAATTTTGGATATGATTCTTATACCTTTGTCTACAGACTATAGATCCAACTTTAAAACATTTGTTGTTCTTTGAAACATTAATACTTATTGATACAACAACAACACCATACTCACCAAAAAGTCGTAACAAGTGTATGGATCCATATATACTTGACATTGGTGTGTCTACGTGATCTTTGAGAATCTGAAAACAGAAGGAATAACTTGTCATCATCATATTGACTTTTATCACATTTAACTTATTACATCAGTTAAGGTAAATACTATCATTCTCCAAAGTCCAATCTTTCTCTGACTTCTATTAACATGTCGTCTGTATTCAAGACTTATACTTGGTGTATGCTTTATCTTTTGTCAAGCATTCTAGTGTTCTAGTGATTCTCAGTTTCTTTCTATCAGTATATCTTTATGTTATACACAGGACATGAACACACTGTAATATACAGGACATGAACACACTATAATATACAGGTCCTTCCTATCAGTATATCTAATATGTTATACACAGGACATGAACACACTATAATATACAGGTCCTTCCTATCAGTATATCTAATATGTTATACACAGGACATGAACACACTATAATATACAGGTCCTTCCTATAAGTATATCTAATATGTTATACACAGGACATGAACACACTATAATATACAGGTCCTTCCTATCAGTATATCTAATATGTTATACACAGGACATGAACACACTATAATATACAGGTCCTTCCTATCAGTATATCTATTATGTTATACACAGGACATGGACACACTATAATATACAGGTCCTTCCTATCAGTATATCTAATATGTTATACACAGGACATGAACACACTATAATCACTTCTCAATACTAAGGTCTTTGATATATTTTGTTAATTTTGTAAAAAAAATTACTAAAAAATAAGGTGTTTCAAACTGTAATTTTAAGTTAAATAAACTGCTTTGCCGAGTGCAGCTGGATACGACTGCAGAGGTCCAACCCTGAACAGTTGGGGCAAAAATGAACACAATATTCAAGCTTGATACAGGTCTGAATTTGGATTGTAATTAAAAATTTGACACATTATAGGTTTCTGACACAGAATAAATGTAGTCAAAGAACTTGAAATTGGTTGTATGATTTGAATTTATATTCAATTGAAGATTTCTTGCTGTTGTGCAACTGTTGCGCAATACTTAGTAAATCTGTTTTCAGACTCTATACAAACCAATTAGCAAAATAAAATTGTGACCCCCAATTTTTTTCTTTGGAATCTTTAGGGAAAAAAAATTGACCCCCCCCCAAAATTTTTTTTTTACCCTCCCCCTCCAAAAGAACAATATTTGAAGAGAATTTTCTTTTGAATGAATCCTTACGTTCTACTTGTGGTATTGAATCTTGTGGTACAATTTCAGAGCAATCAAAATACTTATACACAAGTTATTGTCCTGAAACTAGAAAAATGCTTGCTGTGGCCCCTTTTTGGCCCCTAATTCCTAAACGGTTGGGACCATCACCCCCAAAAACAATCCCAACCTTCCTTTTGTGGTATTGAACCTTTTGCTAAAATTTCATAGAGATCCATACACTTAAACTAAAGTTATTGTCCAGAAACCAAATGTCTTCGGACGACGATGACGACGACGTGATACCAATATACAACCACAAAAAATATTTTTGCGGTCGTATAAAAACTGAGCAAAATCTCATTCTTTGATACTAATGAGTTTTGCTCATTGTTGAAGGCCGTACGGTGACCTATAGTTGTTAACTTCTATGTCATTTGGTCTCTGGTGGAGAGTTGTCTCATTGGCAATCATACCACATCTTCTTATTTTTATATCAACAAGCACCACATAGAACATAAATCACCCCTCCATACAAAAAGTCTTTCAATAAATGCTAGATTTAACAAAACTCACCTCACTATGTTCATGTTATAGATGTCTTTTAATGAATAAAAAAATTAACATTACTTGTTTTTCTAGTTAGATTCATTAATTGATGTTTTCTTGATTAACGTCCAGTTACAAATATTTCATGAATATTAAGGAAAAGAGCATTGGGTAAGTTCTGCATAGTATCGGATTGAAATTAAGGACCAGAAATTCTAATCTTTAATATGCAAAGAATGTGGCATTCTATCTCAACAAGGCATCAGATTTAATGTTTCAATTCTGACCATAAATGGTTGTGTAGTTATACATCCCACATAATCAAAGAACACTTCTCTTTAGAGGAGTCCAGGTGATCTCTTTTATCAAACACCAAATTAAATCACATTGTATGAGTTCTTTTGTATTCAATCTTAACTAAGAAAAAAAGCAGTCACTACAAATGCAATTAAAAATAATAAGGAGATGTGGTATGATTACCAATGATGATTGATTTGATTTTTGGTGTTTTAACACTACTTTTAAGCACCGCTTTTGGGCTATTTCGTGGCGGCCAGTTTTTATTGGTGGAGGAAGCCGGAGCGCCCGGAGAAAACCACCGACCTTCGATAGGAAAACTGACAATCCTAGTCAATTAAGATTGGAGTCGAGTGCACCCGCACGAGCAGGGTTCGAACTCACAACCTCAGTGTTGACTGGCTAGTGATTACAGTAGTAACTACTTAGACCACTCGGCCACCGAGGCCCAGTGATTACCAATGAGACATCTATGGTCATGTGGTATGATTACCAATGAGACATCTATGGTCATGTGGTATGATTACCAATGAGACATCTATGGTCATGTGGTATGATTACCAATGAGACATCTATGGTCCACCGGAGACAAGGACATATATAGGGCAATGTGTATGTTAATGTATACATAACATTTACAAATATGTAAAACTGAAGAAGTTATTTATCTCAAAAAACACCAAAAAGTAAAACTGAAAATACTTTATGTCCCTTCACTGATGTCTTTTTACTAAACACCCAATTGAACATAAGTCACTTTTCACTATTTGAGATCTTTCACTAAACATCAAATTGAATAATCAGTTATAACTTCATTTTTCTGAACTAATGTCTTAAATTAAGCATAACTAACCTCTCCATACTGTGGTCTTTCAAACTTGTACAATAATTGTGTTCCCAGCATGATATTGAAATATTCTCTGATACCTTGTGTAATCTCTATTATGGCATCTCTGGAGAAGAGAAAGATATGCTTAACTAACGGCATCAATTAGAATGGCCACGCTATTTTTGTCTTTATGTGTAAACAGGCCATGATATTTTTGTCTTTATGTGTTAACAGGCCATGCTATTTTTGTCTTCAAATTATATAAGTCACAAAATATTACTGTATAATGCATTCAACATGCTTAATAATTTTTATTACAGATATATGTTTGAAGTAATTTGCATTTCAAAAAATGGTGATTCAAATATAGATATTTCAAACTAAACTTGTATTAAACAGCGCTTCCAAAAAATATTTGAGTCAGCCGGACATTTTGTCTTATCCCGATTTTAATCCCTTAAGACTTAATAACAAAAGGCAATTATTGACCATGGTAATCAGTTGGTCATCATATAACCAATGATTGACATTAAAAAAAAACGATATCAAACTTTACTTTGATATAAATTCGATGTTCTGACGTAAACTGTTAAATTGACAGTGCATCATTCGAAGTGTGCAACATCAGCCTACTAATATCTGCCTTAGACTCTTTATTTGTGCAAAATAACGTTGTCAAAAACTTCACTTTCGTTTTTAAAAAGCACATTTTCCAAATATCCGATGTTGACTTGACAATGGTAAAACATAGACCAGAGACGGATACGTAAAATCCATGTACGTTTACAAAGCACGATTGAGTTTAAGTAGCTCTTTCCACTTTATTTCTTCAAGAAAATACTCGAAATGAACGTTAGATAAAGGTATCAATAATAATTTTAGCATTTTTGAAGAATTAGGATGCATAATTAAATTTCCCACCTGCGCACATGTGCACATGTGTACTAGTTCGAACAACATGGTTCTGACGACTTTTCATTTAAAACATTTTAAAAATTTTCATCAAATCATATTTATAAAGGTATTTCTGACAATTTTAATCTTTGTGACTAAATTGATTGGATGCAAACCGCTGAAATGTAAGAAAATAACTTTGAATAGACCAATCAATGTCCAGTACAAAATAGTTTACCTGTCACCTGAACAGGTAAATTTTAGCTGTCCGACAGCTAATTAACCTTGATTAAATTGATAAGGTATTAAAGTAGGGTTTGCTTAATCATCATGTCACCTTATGACCGGAAATGTGTGGCTATTTAAGGCAAAAGGTCGGATCAAAATCATCATGTCACCTTATGACCGGAAATGTGTGGCTATTTAAGGCAAAAAGTCGGATCAAAAAGATCGAACTTCCAATTTTGAATTATGTTAAAAGGATCGTCTCTTAAGGAAACCTTGAAAACTAAAAGTACATGACCTTTTCATGCTTTTCCCAGACGGACAATGTCTGGTAAATTTATAAATGTCCGGAATATATGACCGTTTTGGAAGCCATGGTATTAAACTGTTCATTTAAATATCTTCAATGTTTACATTTGGTGAAATATTTAATTTGAGTGTTGTTCACATTTTTTTTTACACCAAAGTTAATACATATAATTGTACAGAACCAAATCTCTTATGGTCTCTGTTTATTTTGGCCAAAATTAACATAATATTATCTCAAACCATGTTTTTCGTATAAAATCTATGACTAGTAACTTGAATGTTACATGTTTTCACTTTCAAGTCTTCTATAAAGTTTATTCATCTTGATTAAAAACAGTATAATCAGCCTCATTACAAACAACCAAGGACCATAAAGAGTTACAACAAGACTCCTTGTGTCATAGATCAAACTTATTCATTCAGTATATATTTACTTGTTTTTGTGTATTGTCTTTTTGATAGAGTTAAGCCAATTCAATTGATATTTTATTGTGTGTCTTTTTATGTTGTAATGTTATACCACTGTTTCAGGTTAGGGTGAAGGTTGGCACCTGTTAAAACGTTTAAACCCGCTGCATTTTTATGCACCTGTCCTAAGTCAGGAGCCTGTTGTTCAGTGGTTGTTGTTTGTTGTTGTGGTTCATAAGTGTTTCTTGTTTTTGATATAGATTAGACTGTTGGTTTTCCTGTTTGAATAGTTTTACACTAGTCTTTTTGGGGCCCTTTATAGCTTGCTGTTCTGTGCGAGCCAAGGCTCCGTGTTGAAGGCCCTACTTTGACCTATAATTTTTTAGTTTTTACACATTGTGACTTGGATGGATAGTTGTCTCATTGGCACTCATACCACATCTTCTTATTTATATCCTATGTGCCAATTATACAGAACATTTAACAAGTAACTATCAGCCAACTATTGCAAGTAAGCTTTATCCTCTAGGGGTAAAAGACCCCTAAAACACTTTTTACTGAGAGGCACTTGTTTCATTTTGTAGATTACAGAAATACAGAACATAACCTGAAAATTCAATCTTAACATGGGTTGCTGTTTATTTTTTGACTTTTGAAAGTATTGAAATAGTATTTTCAAATGTTTGTACAGCAAGTCCATCTTTGGTTAATGGCTTTCAAATAATTATCTTTTTTTAAACTGGATATAGATATGTAAATATACCAGTTCCTAACAATAAGTTTATTTCATTGTTCAAATGTTGCATTAATTTGTCGTTTTTTCTTCTGTATATCATGCCTTCTTTAACACTTAAGATATGTGTGTATTAAGGTCTGTTTAACACTTACTTGTTAGGATTATTTCCTTTTGTCTTCGTCTTCACATACTCATCAAGGATATCATCAACTGTTGTTTTGCATGGCAGGGAAACAAGCTACAATTAAAACAGGATTAACTTAACATACTGGTATTCAACTGTTGTTTTGCATGGTAGGGAGACAAGCTACAATTAAAACATGATTAACTTAACATACTGGTATTCAACTGTTGTTTTGCATGGCAGGGAGACAAGCTACAATTAAAACATCATTAACTTAACATACTGGTATTCAATATTCCTCTTGACAGTTAAACCTTATTATCAAAATATGCTGTCTGGCTAAGTTTCATCCCTCTGATAGTTAAACCCTATTATCAAAGTATGCTGTCTGGCTTACTTTCATCCCACTGATAGTTAAACCTTATTATCAAAGTACGCTGTCTGGCTTAGTTTCATTGTATTATTTACTAGAAACCTTAAATAACAGAAGAATATACTTTCTTTGTTTATGATATTAAATTCACAGAATCAAAAATGTTTCAGAAATTACAAGCTTGTAAGCAACGTCGTATACATACAACTAATTTACTTATTAACAACCAACTATTGCAAGTAAGCTTTATCCTCTAGGGGTAAAAGACCCCTAAAACAGTTTTTACTGAGAGGCACTTGTTTATTTTTCGACTTTTGAAAGTATTGAAATAGTATAAAACAGTTCTGTTTTTTTTTAACTGAAAGAGAATTAGGCTGACAAATATGTGATGTACAATCAAATGTTTCCTATTAATTGATGATGTAAAACTTTTATAATCTTGTAATAAACTAAACAAACAAGCATTTGGTATACAATATTTGCACCAAAGTTTTTTTTTCAAAATACAAAGGTACCAGTGGTATGGTAAACAAGCTGTGTATCATATTTGCAGACAGACAGCAGGTTAAACAATATATGCAAAAATATAAATAATATAGAGGAATGAGAATTGTGTAGATGCTATTTTCTTTCTAAAAATGTTGCAACCAGGTGGGATCCCCTTCATATTCAGATCAATTTTAACAATTATGTTTTCAGATATTATCAAGTATTCAAATGATCACAGTTTTTCAGAAGTGTAGCTGGTATCCACATCTTCCTAAAGAAACTAGTTTAAAAAGTGGCCCTCACACTAAATGGAGAATCCATTTCATTATGACCTACTCCACTGACTTGAATTCAACCAGTTTATACTGAACCAAACCTAATTCTTCCTGACGTCCACTAATATCTAACAAACTGTTGCTATGACTACCCCAGTATTTACCTGTTTCTGTCTTGTTATTAAATCCCAATCATCCACCAGGTAAGGCTTCATTTCATCAGGCATTTTTATCTTTACTTCAATTTTTGTCATATACGATTCTTCCTATAAAATAACAAATAGCAATTAATTGACATTGAAACGTTCTGTTGACATGGATAGACAAAACTGAACTTTACATACATTGAATGATAACAGCAAAATAACAACAAAAGTACAGCATGTTTGTAATATTTTATTTGTTGCAGGCTTTTCGCTTTCTTTTTCAGAATTGGGTTAATAGTCAATAACATTGTATTACAATGTACTAATAATGGTATATACAAATATTAAAGATATTGTGGTGTGTAGAAATCTGGTGAATTATACACAACTAAGAAGATATCATGATCAAAGACTTTACATGTAACAAGGGACTTCATTTAAGGAAAATGATATTTGAAAAAAAAAAAACATTTCCAAGGAGCATAACTTCAGTAAAAAAATTTGATATATGCTGATCATAGACACTGCTGATATTAATTTCATAAAGATTTGACAAGAAATGTAGAAGTGAGAGATCTTACAATGCAAATTTCCCTTTAATGTACATTTCTATAAGATTATTACCGTTTCTACAGTAGGTTCAGCCCTAGCTCTCTTTCTCTTTTGATCAACAGTTGTTGGAGTAGATGTGATACTAGCATGACTAGTTGTACTTTCTTGTGATGATGCCTGCAAATTAACCAATATGTCAAAGGAATCTAAGATATATGTCAAAAGAGTTAAAGTATAATTACCCTCAAAGTAAAACAATACGTCAAAGGAATTTATATAAGGAATTATGCAATTGTTCTAAAATTTAAGCTATATGCCAAAGGAATCTATTGAAAAAAGAAGACTGAATATACAGTCAAGTATCTATTTAGCAGTTACTCATAAGAATAATATAAATGAAATTTCAGGAAAGGCTCTTTAGATCAGAAATTTGTGTTTTTTTTTTGTATATAATTTTCTGATTTTCAAACTACCCTCCATATCCTTTACATGCCTGTCCACATTCAGGAGTCTGTAAATCAGTGGTTGTTGTTGGTTGCTGTTTGACCCATATTTTTTTTGTTAATTTACTTTTTTAGCATAAATCAGGCCATCAGTTTTCTCTTTTGATTTGTTTCACATTTTGTCACACAAGGTCCTTAACTTACTATATGGGATGGGCTTGCTCATTGTTGAAGCAATAGTTTACCTAATAGTTGTTAACATCCTCTGCATTTAGTCTTTGGTGGGTAGTTGTCTTACTGGTAATCATACCACATCTTCTTATTTTTCTATCTATAAGTTAAAGTTATTTTGTTCTATGAAAAATCTAAAATGTTATAAGTATAATGAACTGACCACTGATGAGACTGATAATGTATCTACTGGTGTGTCTACCCGTCCTCGTTTACGTTTGGTATCTGCAGTAGAATCTTGAGATGAAGCAGGTGTAGTAGTAGTACTCTCCTTCCCTGGAAAGGTAACAACATAATAATGTTATACAAGTAATTTCAAAATTAATTTTCAATCACATTACTTTTTATGCAAGAAATGATTAGACAACATTTTTTGTGCTAGTTCATTAGGCTTTTTCGTAACACAAAATTCACTAGTTAGTAAGAAATACTTCCCCTGGGTGTTGAGCTAGTGTTATTGTCAACCCCTGTACAGCATGTGTAATTGGTCTCTTCATGCATTATTTTTACAGTGTTACTGGTTTCTTTACTGTTCTCTATGTTTTATTTTTTTTTTCTTCATTATGTGTTACTGTACACTGTGTATTATTTTTTTCTACACTATGTGTTACTGGTTCATTTGTGTACTATTTATTCTACAGTATGTTTTACTGGTCTCTTAATGTACTATTTATTCTACAGCCACTTTTTTCTACAGTGTATGAATGGTCCCTTTTTTTCTACATTGTGTGTAACTGGTCCCTTTTTTCAGTGTGTGAAAGTAGCCACTTTTTTTATAGTGTGTGTAACAAACCACTTTTTTTCTACAGTATGTGTCATTAGACACTTTTTTCTAGTGTTTAACTGGTACCTTTTTTTACAGTATGTGAAACTTGTTCCTTTTTTCTACAGTGTGTGTAACTTGTTCCTTTTTTCTTTAGTGTGAGTAAGAAGCCACTTTTTTATACAGTATGTATAACTAGCCACTTTTTTCTACAGTGTGTGTAATGTGTAACTAATTCCTTTTTTCTAGTGTGTGTAACTGGTCCCTTTTTTCTGCAGTGTGTGTAACTGGTCTCCTTTTTTTCAGTACGTGTAACTGGTCTCCTTTTTTTACAGTGTGTAACTGGTTTCATTTTTTTACAGTGTGTGTAGTTAATCTTCCATTACCTTTATCTTCTTTATCTTTCTTTGTTTTGTCTGGTGTTTGTAGCTGGTCTTTATGTGTCTCTTTGGCTTTCTCTTTCTTCAGCTTCTCTACAGTAGGTGTAGCTGGTCTCTCCTTATCTCCCTTTTCTTTCTCAACTTTTTCTTTTTCTTTATGTTTGTCTTTTTCCTTTTCTTTGTCTTTATCTTTGTCTTTATCTTTGTCCTTATCTTTGTCTTTATCTTTCTTGTCTTTATCTTGTTTTTCAGCTTTTTCCTTTTCTCTTTCAGCTTTTCTAGCAGCTGCTTTTGCTTTTTTCTGACTTCTACAAAACAAAACAAAAACTTATTCAAATTTACAATAAATGACTTATAAGTGTGTGTCTACAAGTAATAGTTAACATAAGAATAGTGAAACAAATTACTTGAAAAAGCTAAGATGATAAAAATAAGATGAGGTTTGATAAACACAAATTATAAGAAAGCACTATGAAAATTATAGCTAGGGTTGAAATTAAAAGAAGCTTATTTTGAGATAACTCAGATTTTCTAAAGAAACTATGCTAGTTTTATTCTGTTATGGAATTATTACTAGTCTTTGTCTAGCAGAAATATTCAGGTAAGAGATTGAAACACTTTTCATTCACCCAGCTTCTTTAAATTTTTATAAATCTTATGATTCACTACCACTAAATTGACAACAACAGAATAGTTTAAAACATTTTTTTCCAGATAAAGATTACAACAATAATAGATTAACTCTGAATTTTAATAATTTCATTTTCATTGTATTATGTTTGATTCATTTTCTGTTCAACATTACATAATGTCATATAGAATCCTATAGCAACGTCAACAATAGACAATATATTATTATGAAGTCCCATACCTGATACCATTTCTTAGTACTTCAGGGACTCTAATTTTATATACTTTGTCCTGAAGACACTGATCTAATCTGCGAAACATGTCGACCAATAATAGTTGCAGTTTACTTTAGTGTTGTTGTCAATTTAGCGGTATTTAATTTTTTATCTGTCAACCCTGCATACAATCTGGTATCCACTTAAGGGAACTCTACCAGCACAAAATTTAGGAGGCGTTGGTTCAGCAGTTCTTTATTAATACATCTAATGATTGTATAATTAACATTATTGATATTTTGTGTATTATTCCTCTGACCTTGTTTTGTGATAATTTTTCATATCATGCTACTCACTTGAGATAGAAAATTATCGCTAGAAACTAAGGACCCACATGCTGTTGTCAATGTAAACATCAACGACATCATAGGAAAAATAGAGATAAACAGATTATCAATGGTCTTTCAAACTCAAGGGTGTTTGACAACTAATCAGACATTTTTGAACCAAATATCAGCACAATATCTTCAACGAAGGCTGAGAAAGGAGAAGAAAACTATTATGTTCATGATTGTTTAAGTCAACGGACTGTGATGATGTCACAAGTATATCCACCACAATGAATCTCATGTAATCAGTAAATGCTATGATACAGAGAGGAACTAGATATTTTAATATAACAAGAATGTCTCCATCATCAGCCTTATAAAAAAAGTCAGCTATAATTCTATCTAAAGTCCGTCAACCAGGACGAAACAAATGAGTTCTGTACATCATTATACACTTATGTAGCAAATATCAGTTCCAGATCTGCAGGCCTTACCAAAAAAGTTTTGAGAAGTAAAATGTTCATGAAATTTTATACTGTGGATTCATTATTATTCGTTGGATACCAATTTTCGTGGAGTTCGTGGGAACAGGTGAACCACGAAATTAAATGTTCAACGAATAACAAATTTTCCATAGGCTTGTATGCAGACTTCGACAAAACCACGAAATTAAATATCAACGAACATGTAAGTTTTCCTTAATCCACTAAAATTGGTACCCACGAAAATAAATGAATCCACAGTAAGTCAAAGTGCCTTAATTCTGCCAAAAGTAGGTTAACTGGAATGAAATGCAAACTTAATAAAATTGAGAATGGAAACAGGGAATGTGTCAAAGAGACAACAACCCGACCAAAGAGCAGAAAACAGCCAAAGGCCACCAATGGGTCTTCAACACAGCCAAAAAATTCCGCACCCACATGTGGGCTTCAGCTGAACCCTTAACAATAATGTATACTAGTTCAGCGAAAATGGACGTCACACTAAACTCCGAAACATATAAATGAACCAAAATTTAAAAAACATACAAGACTAACAAAGGCCATAGGTTCCTGACTTGGGACAGGTGCAAAAAAGTGTTCATTACACAACTAATCAGCTTCAGATTTACAGGCATTACAAAAAAAACCCCAGTCAAGTACAATTTTCAAATCTAAGAGCTGTAACTCCACCATGCATTTCAGGAATGTTCTATTTTGAACTTTATGTTATAATAAAACCTACTGGTGAGCTTTTTGTAGTTCCTTTTGTTTTTGATGTCCAGCTTCATTGCACTTCAATACTCTAGTTTCTGGTACCCATTCGTCCCAGCTACAAAAAAATATGCATTAAAAAGCTTTCAAAAATAACAATAAATTTAATATTATGACATACAAATGCATACTTGAGTTGGTAAAAATTGTTCATTAACTCCATAAAGTACTTCTGCTACCCTTTGTCAAATTTTGATTGAATTTCTCTTGTTTGTAAAATTTACTTCATTTTCAATTTGTTTAAATATACTTTCCCTAACTTTTGCTAAAATTTTACATTTCTTCAACTTCCAGTACAAATCCATTTCTTTCTGTTACAATCTCCATACATACAACATTTCATTAGAAAAAAATGCGCTCTGTGTGGAGCGGCTAGATACGACGGCAGAGGCCGAACTCTGAACAGTTGGGGTAAGTATGGACACAATATTCAAGCTTGATACAGCTCTGAATTTGGATAGTGATTAAATATTTGACACATTATAGATTTCTGACACAGAATAAATGTGGTCAGATAACTTAAAAATTTGAAATGGGGCATTTAATCTACTTAATCGTCCAATATCAAAAATCTAATTCCATGGTTAGATTCAGCATATAAAAAAAACCATGATTTCAAACAAAGTTTTATTTTGGACCCTTTGGACCTTAATATGGACTAATTTGAAAACAGGGCCCAAAATTAAAAATCTGAATGCACAGTTAGATTCAGCACATCATAGAACCACAAGAATTCAGTTTTTGATGAAATCTAAGTTTAATTTTGGACCCTTTGGACCTCAATGTAGACCTATTTAAAAATGTCAAAAAAAAACCCAGCTTAGCCAGTATCAGAAAAGTCTTGTTTTTGACCCCTAGTTTCTTAATGATTAAAGCCACAACCCACGACCACAAAATCGACCCCAACCTTCTGTGTGTGGTATGGGACCTTGTGGTACAATTTCATAGACATCCATTGACTAATACTTAAGTATTTGTCTGGAAACCAGAAAAACCTTGTTCCTTCCCCCCCCCCATTTTGCCCCTTATTCCAGAACGGTTTGATCCATAACCCCCAAAGTCTAACCCAACTTTCCCTTTGTGGTATGGAACCTTGTGTTTCTATTTCATAGAGATCCATAGACTAATACTTAAGTAATTGTCCATTAACCAGAAAAACCTTTTCCCCCCTTTTTTGCCCCTAATTCCTGAACGGTTTGGGCCATAACCCCCAAAGTCAATCCCATCCTTCCCTTTGTGGTATGGAACCTTGTGGTATAATTTCATAGAGATCCATACACTTATACACAAGTTATTATCCGGAAACAAGAAAAATGCCTTTTTTGGCCCCTTTTTGACCCCTACTTCCTTAACAATTGGGACCATAACCCCCAAAATCAATTCCAACCTTCCTTTTGTGCTATTGAACCTTGTGGTTAAATTTCATAGAGATCTATTCACTTATACTTAAGTTATTGTCCGGAAACCAAATGTCTTCGAACGACGACATGATAGCAATATACAAACGCAAATTTTTGTGCGGTCATATAAAAATTGACCTTTTTGTGTTTCAGGGTCGTTTTATCGGGCAGTTAATTTGATAATGTGTGTCAAATTGTTTGCTTATAATGATTAAATTGTACATGTAATACTTACTTTTTATTCCAACCATTGTAGTGAATGAAGTATCTCACTATTTTGTCTTTTACTTCTGCTTTAACACACTGAAAAAGGAAATTAAGAACAAAGACTTTAAATTCTAAAAAACTAACTTTACATCCACTTCATTTGAACTTTGGGGGGATAGTTATCTCATTGGCAATCATACCACATCTCCTTATTTTTATATTGTATGATTTTATTTTTAAAATTTACCTTTTCTCAGAAAACAATCTATTATTACAACATAAGTTGGTATGTTCAGTGCCTTATTTAGCCAAAACTATTTCAGGTGTGGGAGTGTAGAACTTATTCTAAAATAATAAAAACAGATTACTATTAATGTGCTGCCAATGAAAGAATTATTACAGAAAATAAACATGTGTTTGTGCATCATAACTAAATATATATGTATATAGCATAAGGAGAATAATACAAATACATACCTTTGCCTCATATAATAAAGGTCCATGGAAACAAAGAACCTTTTCTCCTGTAAAAGATATTTAATTTGTTACTTTCATGTTTACTTGAAAAGAAAAACAATAATCACTAATATGTGACTAAATCTTCAATGTTAAATTAATGTTCATACATGTATATCCGGTATCCTTCAAGGAGGGTTTTCAATAATGTTTTAAGTAACTGATGAAATTGGGAAAGTAACAGATCAAGCGAGGGGTCCAGTGGGCTGCTCAGGCCACCAGTCAGGTCGGATGTGAAGCCTCGTAAGTGGAGCAGGGTGGCAACGCCCCATGGAAGCTCCTGGATTTTAAGAAAAAGGAGATAGTCAAAATAACCTTAAATCATAGCATTTTTTTGAATGGTAATAAGCTTTGATATATTACTAAAAAGCATTAAACAAATTTTTGAAAATGTGCAATATAAAGACTTAAGCATACATTCAATCCTGTTCGTTCAGTGTTTTTTCCTGCAAGACACTGTCACAAGAAAACATAATCTCATGAATAAAATAATTTATCATGGTCTGTACAAAATGTACCATATATGAATTTTGACTGATGTTTTTTTTTTGTATTTTACATTTTAATTTATTTATGTCAATCAATGAGAAACATTCATGGCTTATCTCCTCTGACAATGAAAATTTCCCCCTTGTAGTCTGAGGGACAAAAGTTATCATGTGTAGGTATTTCTAATAACTTCTCTTTAGTTAAATTACTTGGTAAATTTTGAGGTGAAAACACAGCCATTTTAGCCAAAGGGTCCACGACCACATGAACCTCAAAGGTACAATAAAATTAAATCACTTAATCTAGGGATTTATTTGTACTACTTAAATACATGTAGGTGATTATTACTGTGAGGTAACAAAAAAAGCACTGTGACATAGGAAATTTACAGGAAAGTGCATGATTCTAAAGTCGTCTATATATACTAATGAACTCAAAATCGTTAACTTTTTTTTTTCTCAATGGTTGCGCTTAAGCATTACCCTGTTCCTGTTCTGTTGACGGACGTTGCCAACTTGTAAGTCATACAGTTTCCAGCCGGTACCTCGAATCACCGAATAACACCGTTATTAGCCAAATAACACTTGTAAACACCGAATAACACTTGAAATTTTAATATTAGCACATATTGGTGACATTTAATCATTGATTATTAAATAATATTGTATTATAAGTGTATTTTATAACTTAAAAATTATTTATAGAAAGCAGGTAAGTTCATAAAGATCGCATTAAATATTAGTGTGTACATCCAACATGGCGACCAAGGAAAACACAATGGGAAGAATAAAAGAATGATTGCATATGCATACAAAGGGAAGAACTATGAAAATAAAATATTAAATAATGTACTGTATATACAGAGTATTGTCCAACAGCGTGCTTTGGTGTCCAGGGGCCAGTACCGTGTGGCTGATTCGCATAAACATTTCGAAATAACAGCAACTTCATGGGTAAATAAAACCGTACAAGAAAGAGAAAGATTGACCAAGAGATTCAAGAGCTACATTCCTCCCGATAAGCGCGTAATTACATCCACAGATGGCAGGATGAATGTCATAAAGCCGAGAGCATTGGGCAAGAAAATCGGACAACGTAAAAGAAAGATAAACGAGAGAACAACAACCTTCAAAAAGAAGAAGGACTGAACTGATTGTGTGTTTAATACTATACATGCATTACATTATTATTACAGCAGTGGGTAAATTATGACTTGTTTTAAAAAAGTTTATTGTGTTATTTAATTGTTTATATTTTTATTGCACTTACTGTGTTGCTTACTTCTTCTGTTTTATTGGTAAGTATATTGTATTGTTGATACTGTTTATTTGAATGGTGTTGAACTTTTTAACCATTGTATGTTTATAACCTACTTTTAACTGCTTTCTTCTTCTGTTTCATTGGTAAGTATATTGTATAATGATTATGTATTGTTCATGCTGTTTATTTGTATTGTGTATATTTTTTCAAATTGTTCATGCTTTTTGTTTGTATTGTGTATACATTTCTATATTGTTCATGCTGTTTTTTTTTATTGTGTATATTTTTTTTACTGGTAGGTACATGTATACGTTCCAACCAATGTATGTTAATAATCTATTTTAATTGCTTTCTCCTAATGTTTAAGTAAGTATATTGTATTGTTTATGCAGTTAATTTGTATTGTGTTTAATGCATTTTTCTTTTACTGTTCCCCATTGCTGTTTTATAGACTGGATAAATAATGCATGTATAGTATTGTTGCGCATGTTTTCAGGTACAACTTGAAGAAAATATTTTTTAACAATAAGTTCTAAATAAATTGTTTTCGCGGACTATGACAGATAAGCCCGTGCCTTGTGCAGGATATCTTAGTAGTTTTAAATTTATACAATGAAATTATAAATAATTAAATTCTAAATAAAATGTTGTTTTCGCGGACTACGACAGATAAGCCCGTGCCTTGTGCAGGATATCTTAGTAGTTTTAATTTTTCACAATAAAATTCTAAATAAATTGTTTTCGCGGACTATGACAGATAAGCCCGTGCCTTGTGCAGGATATCTTAGTAGTTTTAATTTTTCACAATAAAATTCTAAATAAATTGTTTTCGCGGACTATGACAGATAAGCCCGTGCCTTGTGCAGGATATCTTAGTAGTTTTAATTTTTTACAATAAATTTTAAATGTTGTTTTCGCGGACTATGACAGATAAGCCCGTGCCTTGTGCAGGATATCTTAGTAGTTTTAATTTTTTACAATAAATTCTAAATAAATTGTTATCGCGGACTACGATAGATAAGCCCGTGCCTTGTGCAGGATATCTTAGTAGTTTTAATTTTTTACAATAATTTCTAAATAAATTGTTTTCGCGGACTATAACAGATAAGCCCGTGCCTTGTGCAGGATATCTTATTAGTTTTAAAAGGGCTTGGTTACTCTCCATTTTTAAATTAAAAAATATAATATTATTTTTTTAATAACTATAAACACAAAAATTATTATTGTAAACAGTTAAATATTCCATATTTTTTTTAAAGGGGAGGCGCCCACCCTCACATTGTTCATTGCCTTGACGTGGCGTGAGGGCTCCACTTTGGTGGTCTAAAATGAACACGTTGAGGGATTGTATGCAATCATTCTTTTATTCTTCCCATTGTGTTTTCCTTGGTCGCCATGTTGGATATACACACTAATATTTAATGCGATCTTTATGAACTTACCTGCTTTCTATAAATAATTTTTAAGTTATAAAATACACTTATAATACAATATTATTTAATTATCAATGTTTAAATGTCACCAATATGTGCTAATATTAAAATTTCAAGTGTTATTCGGTGATTACAAGTGTTATGCTTTCATGTCGATCCGGCCCCACGTCGATCCGGCCCAAGTCGATCCGGCCCACGTCGATCCGGCCCAACGTCGATCCGGCCCATATTTAAAGTCGATCCGGCCCCAATAAAAATATATTTATAAGGAATAAAAATAAAGATATATATTAATTGTAATTCATAAATGTTATAGAATTTTATTATAATGTAAAATGTGTACTGCAGTACGGTAAAAAAAATAGGCCTTTGACAAATATTGTCTTTACATGAGTATAAAACAACTAGGTTGATTATGTTTTCATTACAAGTTTTCAAAATTATTGGGTATAATTATATTAAAAACGTATATAACAGAATTTAGGACAATCAAAAGACATCAACATTAATCAGCAGTAATTAGCAGTGTAATTGTTTATTTATTATCTTGGAATAAAGAATAATGGATACTCATATAACTTGTTTTTATTTTATCTACACACAACTATTCAAAATATTGTCAACTTTAAAATAAATGTATTGACTACATTCGATATTACAAAAAAAAAAAAAAAAAGTGTTATAGAAGCCTCTGATGTTACCCGAAAAAAAAATACCGGCAAATAATTATTATAAGACATAACACCAAACAAAAGATCAAACTATAAAGGCCTTGTTGATTACGTAACTTTAATCAATCAGGATTTGATTGAATTAAGTGATTACAAGTTGCATTACCTTAGTTCACAATCATCAGACATTTATAGTTGAATAAACAAACCAATTATTATAGACTAATGATTTGATTAAACAAGTCATTATAATGAGTTAAACTTTACAGGTTTCATTGGATTGTAAATATTTATTTATCTCTTCTTTGTGTGATTTAAATAATTAAAAAATCGCCATGACATTCAAAGTTATCAAGGAAAATACCTTAATATTATTATGCTGAAGCTGCTATACAAACAGACACAATCACAACCATTTAAAAATTTTAAATCTTTCATCTTACTGGTACTCCAATATATTCATACTTTACTGACCTGTTGTCATCCATCATTGATACTTTTTACAAATCTCATTTATACTGATTAAATGTCTATATAGTTTATTCCTTATCATTTATTATGGGGCCGGATCGACGTGGGGCCGGATCGACGTGGGCCGGATCGACTTGGGCCGGATCGACTTTGGGCCGGATTGACTTGGGGCCGGATCGGTTTGGGGCCGGAACGACCGGATACCATTGTTATTTGGCTAATAACGGTGTTATTTGGTGATTCGTGTTACCCGTTTCCAGCAAATGTGCATCTAAGATTACCAAAAGAATAATGACAACAATAAATAGAATGAAGATAAAAATTCTTAATACAGACTTCGTCCTCTTTCACAGGCAACACCTGTCTCATAATAGTTATTATAGGATCTTCCCCTAAATAATAAATTGATAAAGATTCTAAAAGAAAACTCAGGCATGACATGTAAACTTTTTCCAGTAAGGGGGGATTTCTGGACTTTTTGTAGTCTGAATAATTATGACGTCTTGCAGGAAAGCGTCAAAGCAAACAATAAAATAGCCTTTCAAGACGTTATAATTATTTGGACTATACTTTTTGGTGCAAGCGAGATAATTTTGGTGTGTTTGTATTTTTCACCGAAATCCTTGCCGAAACAAAAAAAATCCATCGCAGTGAAAAGACAGGTTACCAAGCTATTTATAAATGTCAGATTCACTCAATTACTTAATGATTTCATTAACTACCTTCTTGGAACTTATATTTAGGCGGCATTTCATTTATCCAAGCTTAACTAGTTGTGGGAAAATGTTTGCACATGTGTTTACGTCATCAGTTTTTGTGTGAAATAATTTGAGAATGTCTAAAACACGGAAGTAGGAAAAGACGGAAGAGAAAATTGATATATTTTAAGTAATTTCTATGGAATGGCTCAATATAGATTTAAAATTGAAATGGATTTAAAAAGCTAATATAATTGTCTACAGTTTAATAACTATATATTTTGATTTTGAATTGCATTTTCACCCAAAAAATGTCCGGAAGCCTCGTGCAACGAGAATATGTGCAACTTTGAAAATCTTTGAACTAAATTTCACGGGAAAGCATACAAGAGAGTTTGGATTGGGACCTTAAATTTCTTTATTCTTTATTTTTTTATACCATTTTCTGTATTATTTGTTTATTTTGCCCATTTTCTCTATTCTTTATATTTTAGCACCCAATTATTCTCTATTTCTTCATTTAATTTTGCCTATTTTTTTCTATTCTGTACTTTCAAACTTTGTCCTTTATTCATCAGTTTTCACACAATGTTCTCTTTTCTGTAAACCCCATCCAGACCCATAGAACCCATTCGAACTCTTTAAAGGGGCATTAGCTGTCAAATTCATGTTCACTGAATTGACTCTTCTCATAATTGATTTATAACATACTAAAAGGTATATACAAATTACAAAAAGTCTAAAATAAAAAATTAACAATGCATGGACTCGATAATATGTATCAACATTTTGTGTGTATTTTTGTCTACACGTCATCGAGTTGACCTCCCAAAACTGCCGATGGTCATATAACACGATATAAACATAAATATAAATATAAAAATATAAATAGATAGCGGCCACGTGCATTTGGATTTTTCTTGGTCTGTGTGATTTATATTGTAGGTTAAAAGTATGTTTATCATCGTTTTAACCTGTATAAGAATGATTTTTTGTGGATCGAATCAGTCAATCAAATGATTCATCCTTGTTTCACTTTCAATGCTAACATTATTTTCCTTTCTAGGCTGAATACATACGTAACGGTAAACCCATCTCCAGGGGTTAAATTGAAGGTCACATGAATACGGATATAATGAGGTCGAATTATTCACTTGCAAGTGAGTAATTCATCAGCGATGTTTCTTGCCATATTTTGACAAAATTGAACCAAATTGGATGCTGAAAGCGAATTATCATTTCACTATTTCACTATTTCACTTTCATTAATGATTGAACAAAAAGAGAAATCATATTTTATTTTTTCAAGTTTATATCTCGTAGCTAATGCCCCTTTTATAGAGGTCTTTAAAATTTAGAATTACAATCAGGAACATGAAATGTGATATAAATACTTGTTTATCATGTTGAAAACATATGTTAAATAACTCTACATATTTCGGGTGTTGTGTTGTTAGCTCCTGTGAAGAGGATAGCTGACAATATACTGTCCCAGCTAGGTTAGCTCAAAGAAAGTATAGCAAGTTTATAGAAATAAAGCCGGGCCAAACATGCTTCTTTAAAGCACGATCATGATTAAAGTAGCAACTCTTACGTTTGAATTATTTAAGCAGACATCTACACCATTCACGGTCATTTACATTTAAGCAGAGACATTTTATACAGATTGTATATATATGTCTCTGATTTAAGTCATATTTCAGCAATATGCTTCCAATGTCACAACAAACCCAAATCTGATTAAACTACAGATACTATGAAGAAGAAAAGACGAATTTGATTCACCAAATTAAGGCACCAGGAGGGCACATAACAATTGATTAGAAACACTTGCATATGTTTACAAGGAGGCAAAGCATGAACACAGGATATGCATTTGTTTAAAAATAATCAGATTGCAAAAAACCAAACAGCATGTTACCATGCAGTTCATTAATTTTACTGCTCGTCTAGCTTAAAACATCTTACATAAAAAATAATGTTTATATTCTGACCTTTGGCTTTCTGATATTTTAGAAATAGAAATAGAAAACTTTATTTGAATTCGGCTTTGTATAAAAACATATATTGAAGCATAAGCTATGATGAGATCCAGGGGCATTCATTATACAGGCCTATAACCACAACCATTACTATATCTCGTTAGGTTTTATTCAGCTGTTTCCAACTCTAATTTGCATTTATATATATTGCCATTAACTGGCCTGAATAAATATAATTATTATCATTGATATATTACTGTATCTAGGAGAATATTTAATAGTTTTATTATTAACTTTTAGAAGACGTCAACTATTATTTACAATCTTGAAAGTTTCAAATTTGGAAATTTCACTAAACATAAGATAAGATAAGACATTCTTATTAACCAGTCATATGGTGCCCAAACATGATTTGAGCAATATAATAAAAGAATTATTACACAAAAAAAAGCAAAGTAAATGATCAGAATGATTAGAGTGGTTGAAGTACATTTAAACAAAAACATGAAACACATTTAAACAAAGTAACATATTTACAATGTCATTGACAAGTTATTAAGTATTTTGGAAGCCACTGTGACCGGGGGGAAATACGTTTTCTTATTCAATTTATAAGCTTTATTCGTTTTCTAGAAGTTTCTTTCGGTTCTTTAAATAGGGAGTGCAATAATTTAGATAAGTTTGCAGTAACAAACAAATCTTCAGACTCAAGAATCCAAACAAATTTCATCTCATCAGATAACTATGAACAATTTTTGAATTTAGATTTAAATTAGACAGATGTTGAGATCTTGTAGTTTCAGAATAGGACACTTTAAAGAAAATGTAGTTCATCTTCAACTGCGTTCTTACATATCTTACACTTTCTGTCTTCATCTTTTATACCAATATACCTCCCTCTTTCAATTTCAAATTTATGACAGCGGCTAGTTCTAAATCTTGTAATTATCAGTTGCCTGCCTTTTTTTAAGTTTATCTTAATATGGTTCAGACATTTTTTTTTATCTTATGTAAGGTCTTTTAAAATTCATTGCCTGACTGTACTCTTCCAAGAATTGCTTTCTAAACCAGTGGCGTAGCTAGGCAATTTTTACGTGTACGCCCAAACCTCGGCGATGGGTCTGGGGGCCCCAGCGGGTCCAGGGCAAAGGGCATCCCAGTCAGGTAGGAAACTCCCCTAAAGCTCACGCGTTATCAAGAAAGAGATATCATTTCTATTATTAAAAACTCATCAATAGCAACAACTTTACGACAAAAGAGATGATTTCAGCTTCCCAATTGTGAAATTTTTATTTCTATGTAGCAACATACCAGCAGCAACTGCATATGGAGTATATATCTCCCAGCTGAAACGATATTCCAGAGCTTGCATTTCCTATCGTGATTTACTTGATAGAGGGTTGCTGCTTACAAGGAAGCTATTGAACCAAGAGTTCCTAATGGTGAAGTTGAAATGTTTCATTCAAACTATTTACGGCCTTCATCACGAGTTGGTTAACCGTTATGGAATAACATTTTGAATGGAAACGGGGAATGCGTCAAAGAGACAACACACCTACCAAAGAGCAGAAAACAGCCCAAGGCCACCAATGGATCTTCAACACAGTGAGAAAATCCCGTACCCGGAGGTGGGCTTCTGTTTCACAGGTGACGACGGATATTTTCCAATTTGCTGTAACCACAATCCCGTCCTCTTTTCCCCGAATGTGACCTACCGAATTAGAATCATTAGCGGGTTCGTACTTACATGAGTGACACGACGGGTGGAGCAGAATCTGTCTACCCTTCCGGAGCACCTGAGATAACCTCCGCTTTTGAATGGGGTTCGTGTTACTCAGTCTTTAGTTTCCGGTGTTGTGTTTTGTACTGTTGTTTGTCTTTTCGTCGTTTTTCATTTTTGTCATGGCATTGTCAGTTTGTTTTCGACTGACGAGTTTAGATATCCCTTTGGTATCTTTCGACTCACTTTTATAGTCTAGTTTGGTTTTTTTAATTTTTTTCCATTGTGTGGATTTATAATTTAATGGTCATTTGTTCTAGAGAAAAAAATCCAAACCAGATACTTTAAAATCTGTTTAAAAGGAGATGTGGGGTAAAACAATCAATCGACAAAATATTCAAAACTTTATAAAGATAGTGAAAAAAGCAAGTCTCCATATCAATGTTGTCGTTCTATTCATTATTTGGACTTTATATCTAATCTATCTAATTTTCTCACCCTTTTACGCGCAAATTTGAAGGCCGTAGGTGCATGTTACAAATTTTTGTAAGGCAACAGAGGTATGGCTAATTTATCCTGTATTTTTGTCACTCACTGAGTCAAAATCTAAAGGTTTTTGAAATTTGAATATAAAAAAGTCTATTGTTTATTTCATTCTACACGATTTTACATATTTTCATAACATCAAAATGTTATTCAGCGTTAAATTTTTGTATTTTTTTTTCATCAAAGGACGTCTCTAACCAAAATGAATTCATTTGTATCCGAAAGACATACACGTTCCCGCTCTTTATTCCTGTCTATCCTTTGTATTACCTATTAGCCATCATACAACATTTCTTTATTTCTATATTACTTGATGCATTGTTTAATTCGTTATAGAACTGAACATGCATGAAATATTTGCCACTGGACGTCAAGCAATTAATCAAGGTTCTGAAACTACAAAAAATGGGGTTAATGCGTTACATTATTTTATATCGCGTACAAATCCTTCAAATTTTACAATCTCGTAAATAACTATAAAATCAGTTTCAAACTGATGTTATTCGGTCCTGTATATTGCAGCTGAAGACAATGTTGATACAATATAGCAATATACCACGTTTCTTAAACTTTTAATTTCGAAGGGTGAATTCATTTGTTCCTGAAAGACAGTTTTACGACACTATGTGGCCTACAATCATATCTTTACTTCCGATAGAATAAGAATGTCCTTCTTTCTCACTCTTTTTATAAGTCCTTCTACACTGCAGTTATACATCAAATACATATCTCGTGTTTTTTGAAAACGACAATTGCTGATGCTGGAAACACTAAATGGAAAGGTAAAATCTGAGTCTAATCTAAGCTATCATAAACTGTTGACATATAGAGCTGTTTGGATATTAGCAGTATAATTCAAATAATGAAATTTATACGGCAATATAACTAGTCTCTAAA